TATCTTTAAATATTAAAAATGTGAAAGTTATTTTTAAATAAATTATTTTAAAAATATTTAAAAATATTATAAATAATTTTAATTATTAAATAAAATTGAAGGCAAATTTGCTTGCAAAACACTTGAAAGGATAAGATAAATTAGTAAAATAAACATTTTATTGAAGAAATTACTAAATATTTAATAAACTTGATTTATCTAAATTAGTACTAGTATTAACAAATATATATAAATATAATTATTTTGGCTAAATTTATAAAAATTTTAATTTTAAAAGATAATATAAAGAATACTTAAAATATATTAAAAGTATATGTTTAAAATAAAATAATAGTACAGTATTATTTGAAGTGATAAATCCTGATTCTTTTACTTAAAATGATAGATAGCAAAATAATTTTAGATTTTACTATAGAAATTAAGTAATCTATATTAAACTTATTATTAATAATAAGCTTAATCTTTAGTGGTATTATATGAAAAAAAATACAGGTAAAATATATTAGTAATTCACAAAGATTCTATTTAAAAAAAAAAATCTTTAAAGTTGATAATTTTTTTTTAAAAAATTATTTTTTCAACCTATGCTACGAAAGTTGGGTATGAATTTTTATGTATGGAATATATGGTTTGTATGACAGATATTTACCAAAATTGGAAATTTTATGCAAATAACTTTGCATCAAAATAAACCAATCCAAATTTTATATTAAAAGGAATTAACCGAATAATAAAGTTTATAAATTTTCAATTTGTTTAATTAGTTACTTTTATTTAATAAATGTAAAATTTTTAATTAATTTTTACTTTTTTTTGCATTAATAAATGAAGTTAAAATTTTCTTAACTTTACACCTGATTTTACACAGTTTATAATATAATGTATAAATCAAAACAACTACAAGTGCGAATTGTTTTTCTTTTATTTTTAATTTTATGTCATTCTGTTTTAGAGGATGGAACGGTCAAAAATTCTTTAACCCGGTTAATAACCGGTTAAAATATTCGTTGACCGCTTAATTAACCGGTTAAAGTTAACTTAGGCCAGTACTATAAATTTTGCTGGAGCTAGACAATATATTTGCAATCATCAAAATCTTAATTCTGGCCGGAAATTGAATTACGGCCGATTAAATTAATCTATTTTTAACCGGTTATAAAAGCAAAACCCGATTATTTTTTTCTTGGCGGAGAAAAGTTTAATTTTTCGACGATGAAATTTAATTAATCTAAATATTCAATACCGGTATGGATTTTCCGGTATGGATTTTGAGAAGATAAACCATACATGAATGAAAAAACCACTCATAATTGATTGGAACCCATACAAACAGTACATGATTTAATAACACCTCAAATAATCCATAAATGTATGGTTTATACACGAATGAAACAGAGCCACACTATTAGTAAATTTATCCAAATTTAGTTAAAACATAAAGTTTAAATTCTGAATGGTTGTTTATATTTTTGTTTTATTATTTAGTTAAAATATAAAGTTTAAATCCTGAATAGCTGTTTCATATTTTGTTTTATTATTTATTTAAAAATGTAAAGTTTAAATTCCGAATAGTTGTTTCATATTTTGTTTTATGTTCTATTAATTTGTAAATTTTGATATTTACCGAAATTGAAACTTTAATTTCAAACAAATTTTGAAATTTGACTTTCAGATTTTCTAGAACCTTAAAAACCATATATATATTTATTTAATGGGAGGGGAAAGGTTTCAAAAAGATGTATTGAAAAAATTCAACCAATTATTTAGTTTTGCAAAATAAATTTTATCAGGATGACTTTATAAAAGTTTATCCAAGTTTATTTAAAAAAAATTACTTCGTTGTGATCTAGATTAGGTATAGTTTCAATTAAAAGGGATTAGCTATTGGAGAGACAATTCCATGCTAATTAATTAAAATTTTCTATAGGAATTTTCAATTAAAGGTGCATCTTTAATTTCACTTGTATACAAATTGTATAAAATTTGCCTAATTGGGAATTTCAAAAGTAATCGAAAAAAAAATTTGTCACGTCATGATTGGCTAAAATGATATTTTTTGTAATCTGATATTCTAACGGAAAATCATTCATTCTCCGAAGAAACACTCCGCTTTAGGGCGGGGACAGTTCAAAAAAAAAGCGACTCGGGGTCAACATTCCGAGTTTCAAAACGGATCGTCATCACATCACATGCTTTATTTAAACGATCTCAAAGTTTTAATTAATATTAAGAAAGTCGGCACACTTTAGTACCCGAAAAACGTTCCTAAAAAAAAAAAAAGAAGAATGAATGAATTTCTTCGGAAAACTTACTCCAAGGACTAGAATCTTCAAAGAAAACGATCATTATATAAGTTTTTCGATATTCAAGATTTTCCGATTTGATATTCGTTTTTTTTTTTTTTTTTTTTTAAAAAAAAAACTTTGAATTTAAAAAAGGATTATTAGGATTTTCAAATAATCAGGGAATAATTACTTTTAAATCGAAATATATTATCATATTTAATAAACAAAAATTTAAATCTATTAAAAAATATTGAATTTTTTTTTTTTAAAAAAAAAGATGAAAATTAACTATCGACGTGTTTCCCGCCAGTAATCCTATCTAACCATCAAAAGTAATGATAATTGTTTACCCTGTTCCAGTCAGATGATTTGTTTCTGAGGGTGATCGATCTAATATCAAACAGGAAAAAAAACTTTTTTGAAACTTCCTTTCGCCGTTAATCCACTAAATTTAGGGAATCAAATCTCTTTTGAAAGATTATCAAAATACAGTACATGTACATTTTTTTTTTTTTTTTTTTGTTATCAAAGACATTTGACTGGTTGTAATGATTGTTACAAATTTTTTACTTTGAGAATAACAAAATAGGTTCTTTTAATAATCATTTATCGTATGATAGAAGAAAATCATTACCTAGAATGATGTAGTAAATGAAATGGAAGGAAAAAAATTTAATTTTTTTTTTTTAAAAATTTAACCGAATCGATAATGAAATATTAATGAGCCCTGATTTTTTACGTGAAGTAATGATCGGTGATCGGTAAGATATTAAAATACCAGTTTCAAGTTTCCATAGAAAGGAATTCATTCATTTCATACATAATTAATCGTTAAAAAGGAACGATCCATAATTGTTTGTTTGAGATCTTAGATCCATAGATCAAGAATCAATAGAATAAATTCATGTAACGTTCGGCAATATTAAAAAATTTAGTCATTGGATAGGAGTTGTTGTATCATGTTAAGTAGCAAAGTAGCAAGGTATAAATATTAAAATGATGTCACTTCTTTTCAGAAAATAGAAATCATTGAAAAATTACCAAATCCGGTGACCGGACATCTACATTCCTGATTATGACGTAACATCATATTGTCACAAATTTATCTCAAACGGGTAAAAGTTTAAGTTTATCTCAATCATGAATCTCTTTATAATTAGCGAAATATTACAAGTGAACTTTCGTCCATTAATTGTTCATCTAATGATAAATTGATTCTCAAGTCCCTTTCAAAAATCATTGAAATTCATAATAACTCTAAAATCGGAAGTCACTTGCTTTCTACCCCATCATCTACGAAAATAATTTCTGAAAATGGAAAAACTTCCTATTTCGTTAGTACGCTAAAAAATTCAAAAAAAAAATAATATTTATAGAGACATGATTTGTATCAACTTTTAATTAATCGACGGGAAATTTTTCTACAACAAATCTTTAACTACTCATTTTATTCTTCATTCTTTAAAACTTTTTAAACATGAGCAAGAAAGACATAACATTTCATTTTTTTACACCTGAAACATCAAATTCATCAGGCAAGGAGTGTAAAAATCATAAGAAAAAACCAAATATGTTCTTTATTTATCGTAGTGAAATGATGAAATTCAGACCATCTAACATTCCAATGAAGTCCTACAGCAAACAAGTATCTGGATGGTGGAAAAAGTTATCAAGAGAAAACAAAGACGAGCTACAAAGAAGGTACCAGATCAATAGAGATCAAAAATCACATAATGGAACTGACCAAATGGGTGATTGTTCGAGCTCGACCTTGACTGATGAATCTTCATACGACCAATACCTTAAATTCCTCACTCGAGAAGAAATCATGTTCTTCAATTTTGTAGAATATCCCATTGATCGGGGTGACACAAACCTCTTGGAGGTAGGTAAATCGAACGAACCGCTCAAATTAAGGCAAGATGCTTACCTCACCGACAGTCCCCCTAAAGACTATTTCAATAATTATAATGATATCGAATCTATTGATTAAATATCTTTTATTGTAAGTCTTGATCGTTTTTACACTTCCTTTCGTTATAAAGTTTAATTATCCTTTATATAACTTTGAAATTATATCTTCGTCAAAATATCTCAAAATTGGGTTTTTCATATTTTCTTTACATAATCTCGTTAACTCGAAATCATACACTATTTTATTTCCGGAATTATTATTCCACTTTTAATTATTTTTGTTTTTTTCCTTAACCGGAATTATTATTCCTCGCTTGTTTATTCTTCTTACAAGTTTTTTATTTTATCCGTACCGTATTATTTTTTTTTCCTTCACACCTTTCGTTTTCGTTATTTCTTTCGATTTTCGTACTATCTTTTTTTTTTTCGTTATTCGTTATGTATTTCAAATTATTTCCGTATATACGAATTATTAAGCTATTTTTCTTAACCGAAATTCAATGGACAAATTGATTTGTCGTCTATTTAAAGTAAGATCAAAAATAAAAAATTATAAATTTGGTAACAATAATTAAGTGAAACCTTATCGGATGTCTAAATAAATTTTGATCGGCCAATATTTTTCTTTTCTTGATTGTGTTAAGTTCAGATTTTTTGACCGATATTGTGTTTACGTCTAAGAACTGAGTTTCCCGACCGGTTAATATCTGATCATTATAAATGATCGATAATCATTTTCGATCTATTGTTGTTCTATATTATAAACAAAGGATAATTTTTAATATTAGGTAAATGTGACGTAAGGATTTATTTAATCAAATCAATTAGTCAAGTGTGACCTCTACACTTTTGAAATTCCAATTATTAAACAATAACAAACAAATTAAAAAAATCGTAATGAATAAACGAAAAAAAGGAATAGGTTGAGGATGAAAAAAGATTTACCTAATTCCCCAAGAAAATCCCCATCATATATGTATTAAAGAAAAATTAACCCACTATTAAAATGAAAAAATATCTTTTTTTTTTTTTTTGTCAGCTCTTGAACTTATCGGAATCTTTGAAACGGTCGGGTAAATCGAAAGGTTATGAATGGGTGATTTTTTTTTTTTTTTTTTAAGAACACGTTTACTAAGAGTTTTAATATTTGTTCTTTATAGAATAACTCTTTAATTTATAAATAAATGGACTATTCTATTAATAGTAAATTTAATAAAAAAATATGTTACACCGTGATTTAAACTCCGAAATCGGGTTACACCAATTCCGTAACACTTGAGGTTTGCTATTAAAATTCACCTAATTAGACATTTGTTACATCAATTTCGTAATACTTGTAATACTTGATAAAAAAATCTCGGTAAAAGAATTTTATTTTAAAGAAATTATTTTTGTATTAAATGATCATTAAAAAATTTTATATTTAATTAAAAAATTAGAAAAGTGGTTCTATTTTTCAATTAGCTTTATAAAGAAAAAGCTTTTTTTTTTTAAAAAAAAAATAAAAATAAAAAAAAAATTTTTTTTCTGGAAGAACGAATACCCCTCCTCCCTTCGATCCAGTCCCATTAAATCATTTAATATAAGTTTACATTAAATATTTTAATTGAACGATTTGCCACGAAAAGTTGCGAGAAAATGGTCACGAAAACTTTAACTTTTAAATTAAAATGTTGATCATTTCCAAATCTAATTTCTCTGATAATGCATGCAAAACTCATTGTTAGTTGGATGGCTGATAGCATATGATTAAATAATATAATACGTTTAAATACTACAATTATTTAACATGAAATTTTTTCTTAATGGATTACTTTATGCTTACTAATGGTTACATTTGATTAGAATAATCTTCTGTTAAAACTTCTTGTTTTAAATAATTATTCTATAAAATAAATATTACATCTTATATACAATAATTATTAGTTTTTTAAAAAATTTTAATATAAATTTTAATATTTGAAATATATAAAAATTGGTTTTATAATTTTATACAGAATTTTATTAATGACTGGTTTTATATAGAATATTAATTTCTAAAATAAATAAAGTAATTTTGTTATAAATATTATTTAAAAAAAACTTTTCTATAAAAAAAATATATTAGAAATTTATGCAGAAGCTTTTGAAAATTTTTTAATATTTGCTATTCTTATATTAAAATCTTAATATTTCTTATTTTTTTAAAAAAAAAATTTTAAACTTATATAATATTTTTTGCTATAAAGTTTTTTATATTATAATATGATCAGCAGCAAATTTAAACATAAATATGACAAATAAATGTAATATTATTTTTAAAAAATAATGTATTATACTTTAAGATATTTAACAAAACTTTAATTTTTTGTTTAATAGATACAACTATGCTAAGGTAATTTTCCTTCACTATCTTTTTAAGAAAGAATAGAAAATACTTTTATTTATTATTCAAATTTTTTTAGTTAATAATATTAAAATATGAATATAATAAAATATATTATTTTTAATTTAAATATTTGTATTGTAAATTATATTATTACTATTATAAGTTATTATTTCAATTTTGAATTCAAATTTTATATAATAGTTTTAATTTAAAATTATTTTTTTTTAATATACAATTTTAAAATTAAATCAATATTAATTATCTTTTATTATTTAAATAAGTTTTTAACTACATACAATGTATAAAATTTAGATCAAAAATCATGTACAAAAGTTATATTAAAAATAGAAAATTAATGCATGTATTATATAGTATTTCCATTTTTATAAATAATTTATCCATTTTTATATGTAATTTATTTATTTTTAATAATTATTTGTGCACATTTTATGCTGTATAACATGTAAACAAAAAATTTAATATGCACATATGCACATTGTGCATATGAATTTTATACACTGACTACATATATATAAATTTACATTAAGGTTATTTTAATATTTATAGAATAATTTATGTTTTATAATAATTTAAACTATTTAGCATATAATTTTAATAGTTAATTATATAAAATAGTCTAAATTAGCTAAAAATTACATGATTAAATTTAGATTAATTTTGATACTATTTACATTAAATTATATATTTTTAATAAATGCTAATAAATTCCAATCAGATAAAACAATTTAGTATTAATTAATATTTAAATTTAGTTTAAATTAAACTTTAATTTGATATCAATATAGAATATAAATTCAATTATAAATTAGTATTAATTTTAATACCAATTTAATTAAATAAATATATATTTTTATTATTAAATTATCAAATTTTAAATTTTTATTAATAATAAAAATCTAATATAAAATCTGCAAAAATATAACAAAAAAATATTATTAAAACTTACTGATTAATTTTCTGTTAAAAAATATAATGAAAAAACTATGCAAAAAGATAATAATAATAATAATATAATTAATTTCCCTTTCAAATCATTTAAAATCATCCTAAATATTCATTTTTATTATATCACCTTTTTTAAAAAACTGTAAAAATAATAATAAAATAATAAAAATATAATTAATTTTTTTTTTAACTCTTCTAAAATCATTCAAAAATCATAAAGTATAATAAATGATATGATAAAACAATATCTATTTTTTTTTCAAAATCCTTTAAAATTATTTTAGATATTTATTTATTTTTTATTAATATTATTTAATAAAGTAAAAATAATAATAAAATAATAAT